GCGACCTTGCGAGAAGTGCGGCGGTCCGCTTCGGGACAACCTCGCCCATTTCGGTAATACATTCGAGCATGTGCCGAGCATGGAGGCAGAGCATGATCGCGCGTGGGTAGCGATGCTGAAGGCAGACTTGGTCGTCGTGCTTGGCAGCAGCCTGAGCGTGCCGACCGCGTGCGAACTTCCAGAGGAATGCATACCGCCGCGCGAGGCGAAGCCAGCAGGCGGCAGGCTGGTCATCGTGAGCTTTCAGAACACGCCGAAGGATCCGCTCGCCGCGCTGCACATCTTTGCTCCATGTGACGACGTGATGGCCGCAGTCGAAGCTGCACTGCTGCCTGCTGCACCAACACCTGAGCGGCTGAGTGTGGATGCCTAATGAGATTCCTTTGAGTTTTCAAGAGCGATGCGGCAGTAGAATTTAACCTTCGTAGAAATCCTACTTGGGGCTTTGGTCGGTCGGTGTGCCGTCGGTGCTTAAGTGTCTCGCACAGCACATGTGCCCAGACTTCGTCCGGTAAGGGTCCGGGTTGCTTGCTGCCTCGCCGCTGTGCAGTGCCCGATAGGCCGACGCTGTTCATCGGACCGTCCAAGAGCCTCGTGAATGCACCGAGATCACCTTGAGCGTGAGCGCTCAGACGACAAGATGGGCACCATCCCTGCTTCTCCAGAAGACCACCGTTACCACCGGACCGCCTTTGCCGTCGCTGCCGTCGCCGCCGCCCGCCGCCGCCGCCGCCGCCGCTGGGCACCGACTCACCGCATACCTCGCTGCCCTCGCCGCTGACGCCCTCGCCGCCCTCGCCTCCCTGCTCTCGCCGCCACCCCTGCCGCTGCCCTCGGTGCCGCCCTCGCCGCCCTCGCTGCTACCCCTGCTGCCATGACCCCGACGCATCCACAACCACCGCCTGCGACGTTGCTGTCTCCGAGCTCCGACGCCGCCGCCGGTGCCGCTCCCACGCCTCCTCGCTGCACCCATCGCCGCCGCTGCCCGCGCTACCGCCCCCACCCGCGCCGCTCGCGCCGCTCGCGCCGCTTGCATCGTCCCCACCGCTGCCCTCGCTACCACCGCCGCCGACGTCGCCGCCTCGCCGCGGCCGCGCGACCACCTCCATTGCCGCCGCCGCTGTGTTGTGTGGTGGAAGCGTGTGCGTGTCCGAAGTAAAGCTGCTGACATCGTGTGAGCGTGATAGCGTGTTCGACCGCGTCTGAAGGCCTGTCTATGTATGCTACATGGCTAGGCCTCTAGGATCGACCTGCAAAGGGGTGATATGTCGCGGAAGTTTACGACCCAAAAAAGTCGAGGACTCAGGGGCCTTATTTATGACACCCCTGCGGCGCTGCGCGCCGCGCTGGCCCGCGCCTGCGGCGCGAGGGGCGCCTGCGGCGCCGGGGGCGCCTGCGGCGCGGGGGGGGGGGGGGGCGCCCCGGCCGGGGACACGTCCGGGCCGGGAAAGCACGCGGAATCGGAACCGAGGCATGCCGCGGGCGAAGCTCGTGTACGGCCTTGCCGGAACAGGTCTTGGAGCAGGTCTCGTTTTATGGGGGGCCCGGTATCCACGGCCCCCTGAGATTGTCCCGACTGCTGCCGCTACCACCGAGCCTGCTGCCCCAAACCCATCTGCCACACCCGAACTGGAACAACTGGTGCAACGCTTCCTGGTGGAAGGATGCGTGGCGGTAAAAACCTCCCACCCGGGGGCATACCACCAGGACATTTGCCAGCAGGTGGGCGCCCTGCACCCGCTGCCCGGGCCAAATGCCGGCTCATTGTCCGATGCACTGGGCCACGACCTTGTTCCGGCCATGCCGGACT